ACAGTTTAGGGTATAAAAGTATAAAAGTCAAAATAGAGTCAGGAAGATGGAAATACTCTGCCCAAACCAGTTCTACTCTCATGGACTTCTGATGAGAGGCACTCTGCTCCTCACAAACAGCTGGCAGAAGCCTTTTATTAACCCTGGCAAAATTTACACCAAAGCGATTCTGAGACCTACGTTTACTGAACAGTTGCATATACTTGAGTTATGCACAATTCAGTAAAATGATACATGTTCATTCTTTAACCATGCTGTACTTCTGGTTTTATTAGAGGTTTAATTCCTGAGTCAGTAATTGCATCTCTATTTATCTGCAAAGGATCCTCTTTCAAACCAAAGCAAAATATAAATCAATTTAGGACATGCAACAAGTACATCCTTTCACATGTACAATGATTGACATATTTCTACTGAATTTTATCATACATAACCAGGAGTTGATATTTCTTTAAATTTTTTTCTAAGATTATAATCACATCATTTATTCTTTCCATTCTTCCTTCCAAATACTCCCATGTACTTCATTTTGATCGTCATGGTCTTTTTTCCTTAATTCAGGGCTGGCCATTTGGTGTTGGATAACCACTTGTTGAGCTCTGGACATTTCTGTTTTCAAGGTGACTAATTTGTATTGGTGGAATTACTATCTAACTTTTCAAAATACATGGGCCTTCTTTTGCAACATAGGAAGCTAGAAGTCCCCCAAAATATCTATTTTTAATGCCTGAAATTGTGGTGTAGTAAATGAGTCAACAAATAAGTCGGGGCTGGGGGGGGGGGGGACTTGTTTGAGATGGCTTAGAGCGCTGGCTGCTCTTCTAGAGGTCCTAAATTCAATTCCCATCAACTACATGACCATCCAAGATGGTCTTCACCAAGAAGATCTGGTGCTCTCTTCTGTCCTGCAGACACACATGCAGGCAGAACATTTGTATACATAATAAATTTTTTAAAAAGAAAAAGTAGCAAGTGTTTATTTCTCTGTATAAAAAATAGTTTCACCATATAAACACAAGTAATGCATGAAAGAGCTACAGCTTTGCAAGTTCTCTGGAAAGCAATGGCCAGGTCTGCTACTCTGAAGCCACGCCGGGGAGAAACACTGCAGAAGTCAAGGAACACCACCGTAGAGAATTTCATCAGGGTTGATTTTTCTGTGCATTGGCTAAGCATCTAGGGTGGCAAATGCTTAAACAATAACTTAAGTAATAACTTCATGTGCACCTGTAATTCCACGTTATGACTCTTTAAATGAAGAAGGATTTTTCTCCTGGTCGCTTTGGGCATCTTCCATATGTGCTGTCGAAAAGAGAGAAAGAGGGCATGGAGCAAAGAGATTTTCATGATTGTTGTTTTTCTAATCAAGACAGATTGCCCCTTTTAGGAACTTTTAAAATAGGGGAAAATTAAAAAAAAAAAGAAAAGAAAGAAAAAGAAAAGGGCAAACAGTGGTTTTATAAATCATATATTATTATACTAAAAAAAAAAAAGGTAGCTAGTTTTCTCTGTGCAATCAAAATACCTGCAGTAATCAGCTTTAAAGGAAGAAATGTTTTCAGGTTCATGGTTTCAGAATTTCTAGTCCATGACATTGTGGCCATTGACTCTGGGCCTGGGTTGAGACCATACATCATGGTGGAGGCGTGTGGTAAATAAATTTCCTGATGAGCCAGGAAATGAGAAAGAAGAGGTCAGGATCTCAATATTCCTTCTATTACCATGCACCCAGTGACATTAACTTTATATATTAAGCCCCATCTCCTTAAGGTTCCACCACCTTCCCAAAGAACAGGAGCCTTTCACATAAGAGCCTTTGGGGCACATTCCAAATCTTGATGACGTCATAAACTTATGATACATGCCAGTGGATGACCACTGTATACTCTGCAGATGAAAAGCTTATTCAGACTTAGAGACAACTTGGCTACATACATGAAGTAAGAAATGTCCATTTTTATATATTAAAGCACTGCCATACAAAGAAGAAAACAAAAGATAGTAATTAAATAAATATATATGTACTTTCAATATAAAATGTCCTGGAACAATTGATTCAGAAACCAGGAAAAATGCCCTTTTATGTAGCATCACTGAAGTTGGGACTTCTTCAGAAACACTGAAACCTCTTCAGTGAAAAGCAACAGTTTTTGCCCAGGTTCATTATTAATTTCTCATCTTTTAAAAACTAAACTATATGTATTTACAGGTGTATGTCATTTGCGTGTGTGCCATGAGTGGAAGTCGGAGGACATCTTGCAGGAATTGGCTCACCTTCTGGCTGTCAGCTTGGCAGCTGTTTTTTCTTTCTTTTTTAATATTTAAGTTTTAATATGTTGGGGGCATTGGATATTGAGCCCAAGACCACACTCACGCTAAGCACATGCTTTCGCCACTGGCCTGTATCTCAGTCCTCAGTCCGCTAAGTTCAAAGGCTTCTTCCTAATTCCTAATTAAAATTTCAAGTTAAGAATAGAATACGTAAATGCTACATTACAATACCTTACACCTTTACCTGATTCCCTGTGATGGCAGCAGCTTCCTAAACCACAGCACTTACCAGCGCAGGACTGATAGAGTCACACTAGACTGTGACCCCAGAACAATCGCTACAGAGCCTTTAACACGCTCCTCCCATCACAGCGACTTCCCAATCTCTGCCACTCATCCCCTAGCTTACCAGTTTGGGTCAGATCAAGAATTCTTTAGCAATGAAACAATACAACATGTAACCTTTGGGTATTTTTCAAAACTCAGTGTAGTTCTAGGTGAAAAATCTAGGTTATCACACACATCAATAATCTATTCCTTGTCTTTCTGGAATTATCTGATGGTATGCTCATGGAACACTCAACCCGGCCAGCTTATTTGAACTTCCAAAATGTGTGTGTGTGTGTGTGTGTGTGTGTGTGTGTGTGTGTGTGTGTGT